TTGCTCCATTATTTTACACTGAGCTGTTTTCTATTTTTAGTGGGAAACAAGAACGACGACCCAAACTCTAAGGTGGTCGAGACAACTGACGCGCAGAAGTTTGCAGAGCAGATGGGAATCAGCCTTTTCGAGACGAGTGCAAAAGAGAACATAAATGTTGAAGAGGTAATTAGTTGTTTTGTGTTACTTGTAGCCTCAGACTGATAAGCTGGTCTGGAGCTGTTCGCCAGACATGCCAGGCATGCACAGAAGCTCTGTGATAACTGCTGATCAGCTTGTCACTGCACAAAGCATCGCTGAAAGTTACTGTTTTTGCCCCGACAAAACAATCTGCTAATCGTTTACTCAGTTAATTCAAGTGAGTGCTATTGTTTAAAACAGTTCACAATCACACAGCACAAAGAATAGTGTCCTTATTTTTGAAAAGCTAAGAGTGGATTTTATTACTTTTTAACCAAAGGCTGTTAATGTGCTCTTCTGCTTTATTGCAGTGTTAGATTGGCTTCAGATTTATAGGAATAGCAATGAGAATGGTGTCGAGTTTGCTAGCCTGCTTGTGTACATAGGTAAACAAATCCACCCCAAGACTCGCTAATCAAAACAAAATAACAACATCTATGTGGAAACTCATCATCAGAGGTTTTCCACCATTGTGAACAGCTGTGGGTGGATTTTTGTTGCCTGATTCTTAAGTTCAGTTATCCAGGCTGCAGCTTCATATTTAGAAATAAGACTCAAGTGAGGCTTTGAACTGTTCCTTTAAATACTCCTTTGTCACCATTATGACACACAAATCTGACCGCTCTAATCTGTTCATGCTTTTTGGTTTGTGCCTCTCTCGGCAGATGTTCAACTGCATCACGGAGCTAGTGCTAAAAGCCAAGAAGGAAGTGCTGGCCAAGCAGCAGCAGCAGCAACAAAACGACGTGGTCAAACTCACCCGGAACAGTAAACGAAAGAAAAAGTGCTGCTAACAAACTCGAAGCCATCCACAGAAAAGCGGGCGGCGTCTTCACATGCATATACACACATACACGATGGGACTCAGAGCATCTAAATTAAAGAGCAGATAAAGATTTAATAAATATATGGTGAAAGATTAAAAAAAAAAAAAAAAAAATGACGGCAAAAATGTCCCCTTTGGACAAACTAATCATGAAGACTTTAATAAAAAAAAAATTGTACAGATTTTATTAGACATCAGATCAAGTTTTATTTGGAATTCAGCAGATGGGCACTATTGACCTGAGGTCCTAATTTTTTGTTCAAGGATCTGCAACTGACAGCTATAATGCTCCGATTTGTATCCACTTCCACAACCCTGTTTCTCTCACATCAGTATCTCATCTCTCCTTCTCATTCCACTGCACACGGGACATTCAGAGTCGGGTTGGACTCTGCGTCTGAGGAGGAGGAGGGATCACCTTTCCTGGATTTATTTGGGTTTGTTTTCTGGGGCGGGGGGAGGGAGGGGGCAGTTTTTGGAACAGGTGTCTCTCCACTGAACATCTCCATTGAACGTTTCTGTGTTACGATGGCTTCACGCCAACAAATCATGAACTTCTAGGTTTTCTTTTATTTGACTTGTTGGGGGGGAAAATCACTTGGAGGAGGAGAAGGATCATTGGTAGTCAATCTTTAGCAACTAATCTGATGGACAGAACTGGTGACTTTTTTTCTTCTTTTTTGTCTGTATTTTGCCAAGTTTTCCCTTGTTTCCTTTCTAACTTCCAGTAGTGCTGAGCCATCCATAATAGATTTTTTTTTTTTTTTTTGAGTGCAGCGGAGCAGTTGAACCACTCTCGGAGCTCTGGGACGTCGAGCTCCTCGTGCACCTTTCACTGCAGTCTTACTATGCTTCAGAGTTTGCTTTAAAACCTTTCCCCAAAATATTTTTTCCCTTTTTTTTTATTTTTTAAAAAACCGTGATACTGCCAATATTATATATATTAAAAAAGAAATATTAGGAGCTGCAGCGCCTCTCATTGGACTGTTGCCATAGTGGCCAGTGGCTGGCCAAGACGTTTGGTGAATTGAGTCCTCAGGCGCTCCCTCCATCTCTCTCCCTCTTTTACTTCTTTTTTCCTGCAGCAACCAGCCTTCTCTCCCCTGATGCCCACATATCAGCACCCCTCTCAGTGATGGACTCCTGCATTTGGTCCAGCGACGGTGCATGGAAGCTCTTCGCCAAGACACCTGTGCAACCACCCAAACCTCCCAAATACATTGCAGACTGTGGTTTTCAATCTTGTGTTTTTGAGCATGTAACACTGTTTGATTGGGTGTGTTTAGGGAAAAAAAAAAGATATACCATGCATTTTAGCATTCAAACTCTTGTGGATTTCCTGCGTTTTCTCCTGCAGAATATTCTAAACAGTCGACTAAAGCATTAAGGTTTATCGCTTTGCTTTTCATGGTCATGATCTGCACTACCTGCCCAAATTGAAGTGTTACAGGACAGTGTTTTTTGGCGACCCTCCACATTGAGAGTGTGGCGCACAGTGGGACTGTTAATATAAGAACAAATGGGGATGAACTGCAGCACTGGATCCGCTCCCTCCCCGCCCGGATTTGCCACAGAGGCCGAAGCGTTGTACAATGTCTTACTGACATTATTATTAATTTTTTTTTCTGTCTCTGGAATTGGGAGCGAGCTTGATGTTGCACAAGCTTCTGTCGAAAACACTTTGTTTTCCTCTGGGCAGGCTCCGGCAGCTGGTTTGGGATCCCGATACGTGTCAAGAGGTCACCGCGACCTCAAGGGCCTCGAAATGATATCAGATCTCACACTTTATGATTTCTCTTCATTATGTGTATGTATATATAAATATATTTGTGTGTTTATATTCAATATAGAACATACACACATGATTAGCACACCAACTGCACATGTGTTAAACATGGGCCGTGTGCTGTGGTTGAAAGACACTTGTCAGCTGTGGTTTGCTGTACACTGGAGACAAAGATGTACTATTCATTTTTCCCTACATGAATTTAATCAGTAATAAACGTTTTAAAAGAATAAATATTTGACACATAATGACTGATCTCATTTGTCAGTGGTCGGAGGCTCAGTCCCAACTTGAGTTTAAACCTGTGTCCGTTTTATTTTTGCCGTTTTCTGAGAGTGTTTTATGGTCTTTGGAAAACCTGTGGCTACTTAACTCTTATGTGGGTTGTTCATATTCATTTAAAGGAGGTTTATGACCACTTAAGGAGCACCAAGTGGAGTAGATACCCTCATCTTATACTAAACATCATTAGTACTCTCATACCTGCCTGATTTTACATGGTCAGTGCAACTGTGAAGTAATGAGAAGGATTTGATAAATTACTCATATCCTTCGAATTGTTTACTAAAACGTTTTATATGACTAGTTTGTAATACTGTGAGAAAATAAGCCAACTGGTCAGTCAGTCATTGAGTGTTTTTGTTTTTTTCAATTTCTGAATGCTTGAATAATTGAATCATTTAACTTTTTCAAAATTATTATTATTATTATTACGGCTTTTGTATCTTTTGGGTTGAACCTAAAATTTCTGCACAGAGGAAAAATATGATTTATGATTTTCATATTTATAAACAGTTTTACTGATGGAAATCATAAAAACTAAAAATACCGTAATTAAAAGAAGCTTAATGTGGAACGTGCTCGTGATAAAAGCAACACTTTTTGTGATTTTAAGATGAAATTATGCATCTACAGTGTTTTGAGAAGTAAAAAAAAATTTCATCTATAACTTATTTTAACTTAAATTTAACATAATGTATTCCAAGTTATATGTTACAGTTTATTGTGTAAGTTATACATGCATACCATGCCCAATTATGTCTGATCTCAGAAGATAAGCAGGGTTTTCTACCAATTGGAATGTCAGTGGTTTGATCCCTGCTTATCACATTTGCATGTTAACGATTCCTGGGCTGAACCCGTAGTGCTAAATAAGTACCAGTTTGCTTTGTTGGTTGGTTGGCTGGGAGTCCAGTGCTAAAGTTGTCTGAGCAATGGCAGTGTTATTACTTTTGTAGGTTTGTGGTCATAAACTAAAGAATATGACAAATGAAGACTTGATGAAGTTAATGCATTATCTAAGCTCGAATGAAATTCATCTGTTTGCGAATCACATCAGATCCCAAACATGACATGGATGTGTCACTTCCTGGATTCCTGGGCCATATATAAAATACAACTTTTGTAAAACTGCTTTTTCCTGCTTAAAATATGTGTGGCTCTGAGAACCACAGGCAGAAAGTGTCCCAGTTTTCAAATCCAAGTCAGAAGAGACAAGTTGATTGTAAAGTATTTATTCGTACAAAAACAAACCAAAAAAAAAGTCTTAAGAAAATTGCATGATTAATATTTTGAATAGTTTGAAGCATTTTCTAACTGAAACAGTGCCGTTAGTCATGGGTGAATGGAAGCACTCACATGGAGCACAATGGGCCCAACAAAAGCTCTAAATTCCTAAACAACATCTGCCCAAGGAGACACAAGCAAACATTCAATGGCATGTCTGTCTGCCCCTGGACACACACTCGATCCACGGTGGCAGCAGCGTGATGTTTACCACAGAGACACAGCACACAGAGTTTTAAAAATGCTTTCAGTCAGAAAATGAAGGAGAGGATACAGTCGACCGAGGAAAAGAACACGATGCTGACAGAACTGAATATGGTACACAGTATGATTTCTCTACATGAAAAAACAAACAAACTGAAGTCTGGTGATGGGCAGGAGCCACTGGTGTTGAGTCACAGCTTTCTCACACCGGTCATCCAGTCAAAAATCTGAAGGTCCAGTTTTTAAATCCATATGCCATCACTCTTCCTGCTTATTTCTGCCAGAAGGGGGAACACGTTTCTGATCACAACACATCAAACAAAGCAGGAAAGAACTTTGTGATAAGACACCCCTAAATGGAGGGATTTTTCAAAGGCTGCATTAAAGGTCAAAAAACTATCACTGATTATTGGTAATACCTTATGCAGACTCTTATTGGGATCTTTAAAATAAGTCACCTATTTCTGTGTTATGAGCAAGTGGCCTGTTGATTCATTTACACAGGACTTCTAAAGGAATATGTCATAAATGTCATATTTGCACTCAGACACATAGTCACATCTAAACAAAGAGCTACCAACAGGAAGTTGGTATTAGCAGTTTAATATTTCTCAATCAAACTTAAAATCTCAACCAATGCTCATAACTAATCCCTAAAGCATTAGTAAGCAATTTAGTGGTAGTTAAACTACTCCTGATATTTTATGGACCATTTATATGGGATGCCTTGTCAAAAAGTTGTATGAGAACGTGTCAGATAAACTGAAGTGAGGTGATGTTTTTAAGGGTTTACTGTAGATATGATGCAAAGTTTAGGTTGTTTGATCTCCTGGGATTGACTTGACTGGGACTATAATCTCAACTGCATGCCACACCAGAACAACAAAAACAGAAGAAAATAAAATACAGTCTACAAACAACATTATACAGGTGTTCTTCTGTCTACAAAAAGACTTTCATTCAAAAGGTACACATTTTTTGTCATATAAATATATCAATTTCATCCAAACCTATTCCTTTTTTTATATATATAAAAATCACTCTTTGGGTTGATCCTCCCCCTACAACCAGCTGAGACAACACAAAGACATCTGCATAGGTTTGCGCAGCTGCGTTAGACGTGAGTTCAAACACAGACATACATGAGAGACATCGCTGCACCACACTGGGAGTCGTCCATGCATTTTCAGGTCAACGCCTGCTTTTCGACGACAGACGTCACCTACGGAAAGAACGGAAGCCCGCGGCCGAGAAATCAAAGTGCCCGTGAAGTACTGAAGCAATGAGAATGGAGGTAGAACTTCTCTGATAGTGGTAAACGCAAAGCATAGCAGCAAATGCTGACCACTGTGGAGGACGTTTTGTGGAGTTACTGTACACTGACATGCCTTTTAACAATGCGAAATTCAACACGTTGACACAGAGAGCTGATGAGCACTCTACATACAGCAGTTCTGCCTTCTTCTCAAGCTGATGTAAACATATTGGAAATTTTGGTCAACTAGGAAGATGATTGACATCATGGGGACAACATTCAACAGTAGATTATCATTTAAAAAAAATTATACATTTTTAAATCTTAAATATAACATCAAATGTAGAAAAATAACAGCTGGACAGACTTTGTAAATTACTTGAGCTACCCAAAGGTTTATTCAGGTGTCAGAGGTGAACATGGAGGCCTGACTGTGTTCATAACACAGATCATTACACATTCACGCAATTCAGATATTCTCTTAATATAATACAAATATTATGATCCTTTTCTTTTTGGGTTAGGAAGCTAGAAAGTTACACTAACCCGAAAAAAGTGTTGTAAAGTACAACAGGTAAAAGGTAGGCTGGAGAGGTGTCGGAGAGTGTTGGTTGCATTATACAAAAAAAAAACTTGAGTTTCTTCTCCTGCTTTCAATGGAAAAATAATTTCTTTAAAACTAAACCAACTGTTGCAAATGGAACTATCTGCAAATACTTCAAAAACACATAATGTCACATTTTATTAAAATTGTTTGGCAACATGACCACATCCCCAGAGCTGAAAAAGCAGTTCCAAAAACTACCTGCAGCAGTCACTTAACGATGGCTCCAAAAGTGAGTGATTCCCCTAAAGTCTCATGTTAACATGGATGTTAAAATCCATGTTTACAGCCTTATAATTAACTCTTCCATTAGGGTATAAACCCAAGGCAAAACTTGGGTGTAGACTTTTTGACTAGCAGGTGTGCTAACAGCTAGCTAGAAGCTGTATAGCTACTAGGCTTCACCTCTGCTAAATTGAGCTAAACACCATATATGTGGTTTCTTTTCTTTTTGAACTTTTTTAAGTAGAATCTTCTGAAAACATATACGGCAGCTGTGCCATACAGAACATCTGCTGGAGTTTTGGTTAATGAATTTCTGGTATGTTCTTAATGCTCCTTAGCACTAATTAGCTTATCGATGCAGTTTGCTAATCATGCTAGCATGACTTAGCACTCCAGCCTCTGATCCAAGCTCTGGCTCCAAAAACACAACATGCAGTGGCCAAAATGCTTAAATTGAAGTTTCAAAACTATAGAGTCCAGAATTTTCTATAAAGTCTATTGTTCACTGATCCATTGGGCAATGGGCTGTAGCATTAGCAGTCGTTTTAAAAATACGTTTCTTTGTGCCAAATAAATTTCAGGGCCAAAAAAGTTGGAATCAAAATAATGGAACAAAGATAGTGATGTCTTGGTGGATTTAATGAGAAAAAGCAAACAAACGTTAAGCTATTTGTTTCTATAAAAATATTGCTTAGTGCAGCTTTAATAGTGTATGTATATATTTGTGATACCCCTGTAGAGATATCTTTTCTTACTCTGAGTGTTTGGATGTGGGGCTATAAATGATGGGGCTCCCCCCCCCACTCACTTAAGCCAAGTAAACAACACTCTATATTCCTGATACATCAAGCCTCATGTTCCCCTGAACAAATGAATAAACCTGAGAGATCACATGGGCTGACTGGAGCATTGTTGCTCTGTACCTAGAGGATAGCAATCATATTCTGTCATGTCTTATAGTATTATAGACTTATAGCTTTCTCCAACTATCCTCATCTTTTCTTCGTGATCCTGCCTGGTCCCACGAATCTGCCCGTCTTTCCCCAGACTCCTTGGCCTGCTAACTGGGATGCATACAGTAAGAGTTCATAAATAGTCTTCTTTCTCTACAGAGTTGGCAGTGGGGTAGTAGAGATAGTTTTAGGCACTACAAGGAAACCTCCCCTTCTGGAGGTACATTTCATGACCCTGTTCATGCTCTGTAAGATCAATAGCTTTCTATTTGAGGGGCCTTAAGCCAAAGCCTCTGGGGAAGTTCTCAACATTTCACTCACTGTCAGCAGTCACCAATTAATCACTAGGGGAATAATAATGGGACAGATAAAGTGCAAAATGACACCCCCCACCCCCACCCCCCAAATAAAATAAAAAAAACCTCAGTGTGCATGTGCCACTGCCTGTCTTTGGCTGTGTTTTTACCCCCTGTATTGTGATGTCACTACCCTCCTTGTCCTGCACCTCGTCCGTCTGCGTCTGTCGACTGTGCTCAGGGCCAGCATGATAGGGTTCAGTTCTTTTTGAAAAAAGAGAAAAGTCTCTTGTCCCGGTCGGAGATACGCTGAGCTCTTCTTGAGGACTGACCCCTGTGGGTTACGGACGACCCCGACAGAGATGTAGGGGCTGCGCGCCACTCGTCCTGGTGCTTGTCCATCAGCTGCTGGTCAATCACTCTGTGCATATCATCCTAAAAGCAGAAAGGTAAATGAGTGAATGACAAGAAGGAAAGGTCATGAGGAGAGGGCGTGCGGTGAGATGTTACAAGCACTTCTGGAAATATTGGACCCACTGAACAAGTTACCTGTTGGATAGTAATTATAGAAACACCACCATTACCTTTCACCTGTGGTAGATTTTTCTGTTCTGTGTCCTGTTCTTTTTTGTATATGTGTGTTTTTTGTTTTGCTGCTGATACAACCAAAGTTCCCCTTGTGGGACAATTAAAGGATTATTCTATTGTATTATTATAGTTTCCCCTCAGAATACATTATTTAAATCATTTTTGAGAGGCATGGGAATTTAAAATTATTCAGCAATTCACTAAACAAAGTAAAGGATTGAAGAAAAAAAAGAATAAAACAAGCATAATTTTGGCACATTGTGTAAGAGTCCACTGTTCTGAACTGCACCAAACACTTTGAATCTGATGCCAGATTCATTCTTGGTTGTTGTTGTTGAGGTATAAAGCCACCAGAGGGCAGTAACAAGCTGTTTAATAAAGTGGGAACCAATTGTGATGTCAGACTGAGACTTACACTCGGTACCTGGGAAAAAAAACAACCATAATTTAATTTATCCGCTAATGTCACCGACATACAGTAGCATAAATATAACCATACACAATTCAAATATGTGAATTGATGAAGTGATCTGCACTTCTGAAAGGGGTGTTCTCTCAACAGGTAAGCTGACCAGTGGACCGGCATATGCAAGTGAAAGCAGAGAGGACACAAACAGGTGGTAAGAGAGGAGGTGGTGGGTTTAGATGGTTCTCTGTGCTGGCTAATGGTTTCAGATGGGGAGGGAAAAAAGAGCTGAAATGGGCATTTCTCTTGGCATGGAATGGCTCAGCGGTGGCTGGTTTAGTTGGTGCGAGGTAAAACGGTGAGATGGCACTGCCCGGGCTCACCTCTAAGGCAGGAGGGGGGGTGGGTACCACAGGGGAGAAGGGGTGGTACAGAAGCTGAGAAAGGCCACTAGATCAGAAACCACAAGAGCCAAACAGTAAAGAGCCCTGAGGAGGCAAACTGTGGGTAGGGAGGAGAGAGAGGAAAGAGCAGCTTGTTACAGATAAAGGGGATGGGGAGGGAACACACACACACACACACACACACACACACACACACACACACACACACAATATGTTCAAGCAAAAAGTCTAATACAGTACTGTGTAAAAGTGTTGAGTCACCCCTTGTGGGTGGGGGTAGAAATTTATTGAAACACAATCTTGAAAGTCAATATTTGTTATCACTGACTTTATTCTTCAACACAACTTGAACTGTTCAAAATGTCACACAAAATCTAAATCTTCCAATTTCTTTAAGTTGTCTATTGATAAGGAATTGGACCAAAATTTTCAAATTTGGATTCATCACTCAATAAGACCTGTTGCCACTTATTTTCAGTCCAGTTCTTGTGTAATTTACTAGAGTCTTTTCTCCCTGTTTCCCTTCTGTAAGAATGGTTTCTTGACAGCCACCCTCCACCCATACAACACTTCATCAAACAGTAGATGACTCAACTGAAGGGCCAGATGCCGGATCCCTCAGGTCCTGTGTCAGGTCTTTGCTGGATGTTTTTCTGATATCTTAAGGACATGACTTTCTGATAGCCTGAAGTTTAAAGGAGGGTTGCAACAGACTGCAAGTTGCAAAGTTCCTAAAGATAACATTTAAAATTCAGTCTTCACCAGGTTGTCTGTTATTTGAAGATATCACTGGTTCCTCCCTTGAGTTAGGTGCTTTTTTTAATGCTTGACTGTTTCATGGCTCAGTGTTAAAACCTTTAAAAGACTCAGAAATCCTGGAGAACTTTTCCTTGAGACCACTTTAAAAAATTACCAGAAATTCTGGCTCCTTAGAAGCAAAAAATAAATAAATATTGGCTCAAGACTTTTACACAGCACTGTAATGTTCCTTTACTTTTGTCCATCACAGATGAGAAACTGACACTCTCCCTCCGCAGTAAAGTGAGTAGCTCAGTTTGAATACACAGATGCTGTGAGTGGCTTTAAGGTAACAGACTGACACAAGCTACAGCGAAGACAGGGGGGATGGACAAACTGTTCTAGCAGCTAGATGCATTTTATTCATGTATAAGTGTATTTAAAGTTGTCCAAACCTAATTTAGTCGCACTTCATCTTTTATTGCGTTGGCATTTACGTAACTTATGTTTATAAAATGAGCTGTTCCAAAAAAAAAAAAAAATGCTGAATATAGCCTTTGACCCACCTGCCAAGCCTCCAGCTGCTGCGACAAATTGAGCTTCTGCTGGATGGCGTCCAACAGCTGGCTGTTCAGAGACATGATGTCTATTTTACATTTGGCCAGCTCCATTTCTACCGCTTTCTTCCTGCAAGACACACACACAGACACACACACAGACACACACACACAACAATATGAATGAAGGCCACGCACAAAGTCAGCTCTGGCACTTTGCCACACAAATCAGTCATTACTCAGTGACAGAATAAGTTGACTTCTTGCAGCAAACCTCACAGTTATGTTGAATATATGCTGTATCAATTTGTACTTGCACAAGCAGCAGATTTTAGATGGATAAGAGCACTTTGTCAGCATGTATGTCACAGTTCTAGATCATGACATTATGGTCTAGAACAGCGGTCCCCAACGTTTTTAGCGCCACGGGCCGGTTTATGTCCAACAATGTTTTCACAGACCTGCCTTTAAGGTGTCGTGGGAAAAAAAACAAAAACACGGCACCGGTAAGTATAAAAAAAAAGAAGATTTATTTATAATACATGGAAAAGACCCAGGAAAACTGAGTTAACGATTAAAAAAAAAAAGATTAAAAACCCTGAAAACCATAAATTTCACACCTGAGCCTCAACTCTCGCGGCCCGGTACCAAACGACTCACGGACCGGTACCGATCCGTGGCCCGGGGGTTGGGGACAGCTGCTCTAGAACTGTTTTTTTCCATCTATCTAGACTCTAGAATAATAAGGTTTAGGGTTAGGGATTAACAGACTTGATAATTCAGTTATCAAACATATGATTAAGATCTGAAATGATGGCTGAAAATATTTCATTATATTATAACTTGAAAAAAATTCAAGCGCTGTCGCACTGTTTGATGAACTGAGGCATAAATTTAATGTAAATACAGTAAAAAGATAAAACTTGTAATCTTTTCAGCAGCAAAATGAACTTACTAAACCCGTGCATACACCTGTTGAAGTAGTGATAAAGGACTAAGCTAGTTGTGAAATCGCACAGTCTTACTTAGCTATGGCATCGTCTCGGTCTCTGATCGCACTCTGGAGCTGCTCGCTGGGTTCTCGAACATCAGCCATTGTCCTCATTCGCTCGTTCTCTTCTCGGAGAGAGCGCATCTCTACAGAGAGCAGCGCCACCTGTGGATCATGCAGAGTGAATGCGAATGAAACATCCCTGTGAGATTGAGGCCATGTATTCAGGGTGCACGGTTTAATGGCAAAGTTAGACAACATGGTGCTCATGGGCGAGATATTTGTTTGACCTAGTTCGGCAGAGGATGGAGTGCGTGAGCAGCTTGTGTCATTTAAATCACGCAAGACGGCATTTTAAACCCACAGGAGAGCGTGAGCTGTCCTGGCAGAGAGAAGGTTGAACAAGGTTGAAGCAATGTCCCACATTAGAAAAAGCATGCATCAAATTCAAACTGATGCGCGACAGGGTGAGGACTACATCTGCTGCACTACGTCATCACAGTGTTAGACATGAGAAACTCCTTAATGCAGCGTTATTACCCCAGAAAGACAGGAAAGGATCTTGACTTCAGCTACATTTATTATCTAAATCTCTGACTAACATGCACATACATGATGCACATACATGATGCACACACATGGTTGTTTTACCTGGTTGTGCAGCTGCAGCAGCTCCTCTTCATTGCCGCGTGTTTTGTCCTGCTCCGTCTCATACAGCTCTCTGACTTCCCGCAACTCTTCTCCCAGTTTCCTCACCTGCTCCTCCAGAGCCTCCTCATCACTACGCCGTGAGCCCTTTGCACACAAAGCAAACACGTTACAACAAAGACTTACCGTGGACAGTATCGGCTTTATGAGAAAGGAACTCATGTGTAAAGTGACGATGACTTCTTTAATGCTAAAAATATGCATTACATATTGTAAAGACAAAGTGAGGTGAGCATTGCCTGTTTAACATAAAAACAGAGTAGTGGGAAAGTCTGTAGACATTCAGTGTACCTGTCTCCTGGCCTCCTCCATACATACTGATGATAATTTGAACCAAATACTTCAAATTTAGATTCATGACTCCATAAGACTGTTTCCCATCCCTAAGTATGGCTTCCTGACAGCTACCCTTCAACTGAGACCATTTCTGATGGGGCTTCTCAGGTCCTGTGTCAGGTCTTTCCTGTTTCTGAAGGATGTGACTCTGGGATACTGCCCAACTTCTGCAGATAGCTTAGGCCAGGGGTGTCCAAATCCAGGCCTCAAGGCCCGGTGTCCTGCAGGTTTTAGATGTGTCTTTGATCCAACACAGCTGATTTAAATGGATAAATTACCTCCTCAACATGTTTTGAAGTTCTCCTGGTAATGAACTAATCATTTGATTCAGGTGTGTTGACCCAGGGTGCTATCTAAAACCTGCAGGGCCCTTGAGGCCTGGAGTTGGACACAGCTGGCTTAGGCCCACAACTTCCACTTATCCAGTTTCCTCAGATTTTTTTAGGACACACTGCACACCAAGTGCCAAGTTTCATCTAATAGTTATATCAAATGTTTCTGTGACAGACTGCTAGCACCAAAGGGCCTAAAGATAAAATTTAAAATGGATTTCTTTGTCTGTTGTTCCTTCCTTGTGTACCTTTCTTATGCTTGAATGATTCACAGGTCAGTGTTAGGTGACTTAGCAAACAAAAGAAGTATTCCTCTGAAAAGCCTGGAGAACTATTGATGAGAACAAGCAGTGGCTCAAGACTTTTGTCACACAGAAAATAAGATGCTGTATTGCTGTGTACAGTACTACATAAATAGTTCTTCTTTTGAAATAATTCAATCGCCAAAAATTACTAGTAGTCCAAAATTAGTCATTATCTCACTTTTTCAGGTAACACCTAATATTAGTCTAACAGCAACAATGCTGACTGCCAGCGTGTTGCTCATTACCGTAGACTCATTGCCATCCAGCAGATTCTGAGTGAGCCTCCGTAGCTCTAGCAAGCTGGTGTGGAGGCTCCCAGTAGGCACATCCTTGGCTGAGGAAGTCTCAGAGGACTCGTCCATGGAGGAGTCAGTGGACAGCGCTGAATCCGTGACATCGTTTCCCCGCAGATGAGAGCAAAGTGAGCGAACTTCACAGTAGGCCTCCCATAGCTGAAGACGTAGCTGATTGATCAACAAGACAAGATAGTTTAGATTATTAGTCACCAACACTGCTGATGCTCACAGCGAGTTTAAACAAACTGACTGTGGATACGATCAGGCAGTCATAAACATCGCTACCTGCTCCCTCTCCTGCTCCTGCTCCTCCTGCTCCATACTTTGCTCTATCTCACACAGCAGGCTGGAAGGATGGGGGGTAAGAGTTTGGAGGCTGTGCTCCTCCGTCAGCTCCTCCAACCTAGCGGCCAGCTGCCTGTGGGACACCTGAACCTCCAGCAGCTCCAGCTGGCTCTGCCGCAACTGGACACGAGAAAGGAGTTAACTAAGACTTAACAGTGGCATTCATCTAATTTCCAACTCTATATTTTTATACTTGGGCTATATTAGAGTAGCTCTGGATGATAGATAGTTCAAAATCATTGTTATTTATGCAATACTGAACCTTAGTGGAGTTCATCAGCGCCTCCACTGTCTGAAACAAGTTTTACCTCCCTTTCTCCTTCTTTTAAGTAACTTTTTTCGGGTTGGCTATGCACATAAAAACTCACAGGGATTACTTGTTTATACACTGATGTAATAGTGTATATACAATACCACTACTGTAATAGCTAGATATGAAAGAAAATAAGGGAAAGCAAAATATTCTAAAACCACTCTAATCATTTGTAATAATAATAATAGGAATAATGTACACTATCTACTAAGGTAGCAATTATTCCCCGAAGCTTCATTTATGTGTCCGTACCTGGAGGTCCTTCTCGTGACACTGCTTCTCCAGCACCAGCGTCCTCTCCCGGAGCTCATCCACAGTATTCTGCAGCAACTCGTTCTCCTCGAGCATGGCGTGCACTCGGTGCTCCGACTCCATCTTCCGTTCTGACAGCATCTTAATCTAGCATTTCAAACAGTGACAGTTAGACCCTGCGCTGTGGGAAGCAGGCGTTACATTTAGAATCCAAGGATTGCTCAGATTTCCTGGTCGATCGCAAACAAATGGGCAGCTATGGACCTGATTAAAGGCTGCATATTGTTTTTTCCCTGCCTGTGAGGGAAGCTGGGCTCTTACACAAGATTAAAAGCACTCCCACTGGCCTAAAGAATGTTCGTTGCCTAGCACGGGTGTCTGCATTGGTCGCCACCCTCGTCTTCAGGAATGTTTTGGTGATGCTTTAGCATCTACACAAAGTTTCATAGCAGTGTACTGCTTACCGTGCCTGTGTAATGGCCTTATATTGAAGACACAAGATAGACTTCATGAATTGTCTTCCCTTGCAGCTGCCTGAGCAGCTTTGCCCATTAAACAAACATCAGCTCTGCTCATTTTTTATCCCTCCTGCTTCTGACCTACATCTGATAACCTACTTCGCAGCACAGGGAGCTTTCATGCAGAACAGTTGTTTTTACTGGCACATGTGCATCTACGTGATCAGGTTCTGGATATTTTGGGTAGTCTCTGCTTTCACCCTAACAGACCAAAAAGCCATTAGTCATCAAGAACATGTCATATAAAGGCAAAGCATTGGAATAGGGGGAGCACCCAGACATTGCAGTATCTCTAAATATAGAGCAGGAGCCTTTTCTCCCAATTATAGCACAAGCTCTGCAGTCTGGGTGTTTTCTCCCTGGCTTTGAAGAGAAGCTGCGGAACAACCTGAACTCTTACAGCACTGACGTAGAGGACATATCCATTCAGATATGGCACAACTGACATCACAACACAGCTCATGCTCTGATAAAAACAAAAACAAAAAGTATCCAAGCTTGGCCTCGGAAACAGGGATCGGCACAAATGCTGCGCACATAACATATTACATACTATAAAGGTGAAAAGAGTCAGCACTTTGCCCCATCATCAAGACACATGACAGGCAATTGCAAAAATCAAAACAAATATCAGCGCCTTCGCTGTTCCTGCTGTTTTACAGTGTGTCACATGCAGCATGCAGTCAGGCTGAGAGACGGTGCAGGGGAACCACTCACTTCTAGCCCTTGCTGCTCCAACCAAGAAGGAAGGAGGGTGAGGGGAATGGGAAATGGTGAGAAAGGCGAAAAAGATAAAGAAGAAAGGAAAGAAATCACACAAGTGCCTCGAGTTCAAAGTGATGATCATCCCCTGAGAAAAAAATAATTTATTAAGGGAAGAAAGACTTTTCTTTTTCTTTTTATCATTAGTGGAGACTTTAAAGCATGACTGTGACTTTTATTGAACAAGTGGACACTGTGGCTACAGGTGGTAATTGCAAGATAATGGCATACTGACTCTTTAAAGTCATCATCATTAGGCAAGCAAAGTGAGGGGACCGGATGTCAGATAAACAGCAACATTTATACTTACCTACCTCGCGATCGATTACAATTAAAACTAATGATGCATCTCGAGTCTCCCACTTAAATCTTTGAACTCGCTATACTAACTAAATAAAAGATGGACCATAGACTGTGCTGTAACTCATAACAAAGCCCTAGATAAAGCCTCAGGTGAGACACGCAGTGGTTTCACTTTAGAGGCTGTTTTCTTATATACACTCCCTGGTCTACATGGTCTAAATATTTCAAAAACCCTACTGGGAAAATCCCAATAAATGAGCAATTTCTTGCTGATATCCCATGTCAGTGGAAAGCTGCTTTAGGCTGAGGCTAAGGGAAGGATGAGGGCATCGCTGACTTACAGCTTGTCAAACCTTGAAGCAGATGAGTTACAGCAACAGAAGACCACACCAGGTATCTCTTTTGTTAACTAAAAATAGGAAAGTGAGGCTACAATTCACACTGGCTCACCAAAATTGGACAAGACTGGAAAAGTGTTGCCCGGTCTGATGAGTCCTGATTTCTGCTGCAACGTTCGGATGGTAGGGTTGGAATTTAGAGTAAATAACATGAAGGTATGGATCCATCCTGTCATGAATCAGCAGGTCAAGCTGGAATTGGTGGTTTAATGGTGTGGGGATATTTTCTTGGCACATTTTAGCCCCTTTTATGAATTACTCCTATTACACATGGAGTATTAATTATATGCCAAAGCCTACTTGAGTATTGTTCCTGACCACGTCCATCCATTAAAGGTCAGAGTATGTCACAAAACTCAAATGATCTCAAACTGGTTGGCTGTACTTAAATGACCTTTGCTGTCACCAAATCACAATCCAATAGAGTAAATTGGGATTGCAGTGGAACAGGATTTTCATTATGAACGTGCAGTTGAGAAACCTGCTGCAACTGCGTGACGCTATGATGTCAATATGGACCAAATTCTCTGAGGAATGGTCCCAGCATCATTTTGAATCTGTGCCCCAAAGAATTGAAGCAGCTCTGAATCAAAAGGGAACTAGCAAGTTGTACCTAATGAAGTGCCCTGTGAGTGTATCTCTGACAAGAATGACTTCATGCAGTGCACTGTAAGTAAAGAAATAGTGAAAATATGAAATATTTAAATAGCTGCGTGTATGTTTGCGATAGTTTCCAGCCAGCAGAATATCGTCAGCATCCAAGGGCAATGTCCACACTAGCTATTTAGCTATTTTAGCGAGATTAGCTATTTTAGTTTAGCTGTCTAGATTAGCAATCTTAGCCTAGCCATGCAGATTTTCTTTCCTTTTTAAATCAACCACTGATGTTAATGTGACATGCATGTGGCACAGTTTGGCGCTGGTGCGTATTAAAGCGCCATCTTCAGTATAAATTTTTTTTTAGATAAGTGGTGACTGGCATAACGCGTTTTAAATGTAAATGCAAAATCCAACATTTCTGGTAAGTGTATAACTTGCCTTACTTGACTTGGGCCTGTCAAAAACAGTGTACTACATGGTTGTGGACAAAATGAAGTATCTGAACAGACCAGCTTATTCAAAAAATTGTACAGTTCTTAGAAATGACTTAAATTGCTTCTACTAGGCACCATGATTTTTTAACTCTTAAGTACCTAAGATAAATGTTCCTGTTAGAAGTTCTAGTCAGCTTTAGGGGGAGTTTTCTCACTCTGTGCATGTTCAATCAACTGTACTTGTTATGAAGTTATGTATACAGTAGACGGGATGCACACAAGGCTGACCTCAGCCTGTAGAGTCTCTAGTCGTGTCATGTGCTGGCGTGTGGACACACTCTTCTCCCTGAAGTCATCCCGTAATGAATGGACCTGAGTGGACAGCTGCCTCTCCACCTCTGCAGCCTGGACAAAGACAGAAAGGGAAGGACAGAAACTGAGCTTAAAAGAGGCCTGCTTTTAGTTTGAAAGAATACAATTTAGCACTGTAAAATGTTGCTCATGTAAGCGTTGTTCGTGGTAATACTGGAATTAAAAATCAATGTTAACGTGTTGCAGAACTTGATAACTTAAATTAGAATACTGGCACTGCAACTCTTTTGTCTTTTCTCCCCCATGGTGACTCATTGGAGGCTAACACATGCAGACACTCAAACACATTGCTGTTCAGATTGCACTCACACTGTGTTAGTGACACTGACGTGCTGTAAATCAGCCCTCCCCAGTCTGTTTTGGTAAATGGTGCATTTAATAGCTGGTTCTCTAAAAGCACAAATTCACCCACAAGTCATGGCCCTTGCTAAAAGCCTCAAACAACAGAAATGATCTGCTCGCTATTTGTGCAATCCAGTGAAGCAGCAGCAGCAGCCTTAGTGCATCACTAGAGCTTATTGGACAGGTGGGATCAGACCACACAGAGCCAGGCTGTGCATCATTAGCATAAAGCTGCACTCAGGAAGCTACATTTTGCATTATCATCACTGCCATGGCAACAGCAAAATCCTAAAAAGCATACTTTATCTCTCTCAGGAGATACTGAAAATTGAGTAAATGGACTAACAAAAAAAAAAAAAACTAGAAGCAGGAAGTCAGTTTATATTTCCTTATTTTTGTTGTCTTTTAATCACTGAGTGTTGAATGAAAGTGAGGATGACTTATTGCATCGATATCAATAAAAGCCTCTAGATGGCACTACACGCTGCTGCAGCTTTTTGAGGCGCTCACAGAGAGATGAAAGGGCTCAACAGCTGGGCTGTACATGCATCAGGCCATTTTAGTTCACTTCTGTTTGTAAAGCAGCACTGTTTGTGGTGTCAGTGTTCTTTGGGAAGTCTCTAAGGACAGGCTGCCATTATGACCATTTCTGGGGCTCCACTCTGAACAGCACCTAACAACACAGTGTAAGCACCATGACTACTCATGTTTCTACTGCTTACCTGCAAAGGCCTATTTACCTTTAAATCAGTTTATCATCCACTTCAATCCATCATGAATTCCAAAAGCACACAGCACTAAAAAAAAATCCTGATTTACAGAACTTAGCGCCTCATGGACAATCAAATCCTGCCCTGCATGCATATGACCTGGATTAAATAATGAAAACGGGGGTTGCTATACGTTATTCTTTTAGAACAAGTCAATAATGTTTACATCAGAAGGGCAAAAAGTAAAAATAAGTTGAAAAGTGAAAGTCAAGCTTTCCTTCAGAAAACATTGTGGTATTGATGGTCTAGAATAATCTCTGGATCCAGATAAGTTCGTGATATATTTGCAAACAAGATTCAGGTTCCAACTAACTCTAAAAGTTTAATCACTTCTAAGCTGAACAAGCACAATCTCTTAACTTTTTGAGTAATCCTACCAACAAGTAGATAAACTGAACTACTTGGCAGAGCAGTGATGACTAAGTGATGGCTAAGCAATAACTTTAGTTTTTATAGGTCTAATTATCCATGTGTCAGCTTTGCACCTGGTACTTAAACACAGAATTGAAAACAAGCATGCTTTGTGTGCCATGCTGTAATAAAGGAGCCGAATGAGCTTTTATGAATCGAAAAAATATGGTGTGGAAAACCTTCTTTTTACTTTTTACAAGAACCAACGGTGGATGTATATAACTTGGGAAAGCAGAGGGATAAAAAACTCCAAATTATATCCCAAACACCAAAGATTCATGGATGTTTTGTCGGCTAAATGTGATTTCCATGGAGTTTTTCCCCCTCGTAACACTTGTTTCTCTTTCCTGAACTGAGTGGTTTCATATTTCAGGGCTGCTCAGGTGTGTGTGTGTTTCCTTATGTGTGATACCTCAAATCTACACGCTCTTTCAACTAGAGAATTTTTTGTCATAGTTTGTCATTAATTAGACTGTAATAATTGTCCTTTTAACATTTTGTTCAACAAGTGTTTGTTGGTTGGGTAGTCAATGTAGTTGACTCTTTGTAAACCTGTTGACAAACTACAGTCATGTTTTCTGAAATAACACAAAAGGACACCTTTTTCAAACAATGTAAATGCAGGTATGGGATATGTCATTCCAAAAAACTTGCTGGGAAAAAGCAAAACATACAAATACTTGACAGTCTGATCTGATTAGTTCAGTCAAAAAGCCCAGATGTACTTATCTGGATGAACACTACATAGTGCCGTTGCCTTTGAGTGGAAAACAGGGGCAGGTAGCAGGAGCCAGTGTGACAAGCAATGTCACAATGTGACATCTGACCCACTGGCCCAACAAGCTGACAGATTGAAATCGTTTTGGGCAAACCGCAGAATCGACCGTGAAGTTCCAAACAGTCACTTAATCTATGCATAAACTCCTCAGATTCCAGATCAAGTATTATCAACATGACAGGACAAACTGGGGGGAAAATAAATCAGACTGCTGCGACTGAATCCAGGGCACCAAAGTAGGGCTGAACAGAGAGACGTGTTACTGTAAAGCCTCTTTACTCTGGACATCACTTCCGGTAAATACGTGACATTCGCTTTTCCAAAGGTGGCAGGAGGAAGAGGAGGAGAGTCACTGCTGCTGATTCTGTTTGGGGCTTTCTGTGCGGGACCTGATTCAGGTGCATCAAGGGTCTTGGGTGACACAAGCTGGCATCAAACTATCTGTATCCTTGTACCATTCTGTAGAGCACATTCCCATGGTAACAACACAGAGGGTTTCAATTTGCATGTCACTCTGGTTGTCATAGCAACCGCAGAGAAGTGGGATTGGCGGAGCTGCGACTTGGGGTCTCAGTACTTGTGGTATTTTCCGCATTCTCTTTCTCAGAGCGCTGTTCCTTCCATGGAAGGAGGAACCCTCTGTCTTAAACAGTTGCATAACAAATCCCACGTGACAATACGTGAGTGCGACAGCAGATCTTATAGGTGCTCCAGCAACTGCTCCATAAACGGATGGACAGATGAGCAGCACTGGCTGGAGTTTATAAATGTAAGGTTTGAACTAACCTGACAGGTAAATTTAAGCAAGTGATGAGGAAAAAAATTGCACTGACTCCTCCTGTACAGCCTCAAATGAATCAAACACAACATTCATGGGTGAGTCCATGTTTCATAAGTAAACTCTGAACGTTGAGGGAAGTAGAAGTGACCCCAAACATAAAGCGTGACACTTTTTTTTGGCAGAGTCAGGGCACCCTCTGCTTTCTCCCAGCCTGTGTGGTAATGTAATTACAGAAAGGTCCCTTTTCCTGCTTGTTCGCTCTGATCAGATTAAGCCCGATGAGATTGGCTGCCTTGACACTCCAGAACCACGGAAACAAGAACACACCTCCTGAATCAATGACAGCCTATTTTCTCTGAGTGCACTGAAATAACATATAGCATTAATAGTCAGATCTGGACACATTCAAAACACATACACACAAATATAGTGGCCAGACAGAAGAAAACCATGAAGGAGGGGACTATTTTTATGATCTTCTTTGCTCAAATACCAGCGTTACCTGCTGCTGTTATTAATTAAGTAGAGTATGGATTGAAGTTGTTTTGGTTCCTGACTTAATGCATATAGCAAGGCTATTAGCTTGGATTATAGCTAATCCCTTCAGGACCGTATCTTACCCCATGACTTACATCACTTCCTATGAAGTGCCCTGGCTTGTCAAGGTCATCTCACTGGAGCCAAATGAAAAGAGCCTGTTAAGAGCTGATCCCTGTGTTGTTAAAAGAGCATAACACTGTTTTCTTGTATTTGCCTGTAGGTTTTACTTCCTCTGAAAAGCTGGCCATTTTACATAAACAGACTTTTTAATGGGCAAATGTATAAATAAAAGCATAAATCATGAAATATTTAGCATTTAAAAAAAATAACTGTCTAAAAAAGCTGAGATCAATTCACAAATTGACCTTAATGTGATTCACCAGAGAAATAAAAGCTAAAATAAACCTGCAAATATAATTAATGCTAATGATTTCTCAATTACTTTTTTTGTTGCTCTTACATTTTGTAAATCCATATATTTATGCTTTATTGGCAAACAGGTCTGATTTTGATCTCTGTGATTAAATTAGAGACAAAGCTGGATTTTCCGTGGCGTTGTGTCTGGTCCACTTGTTTGTGCAGTGATGTATAACACTTTTGCAAGAAAAGGTGCAAGGCTATGTAAAATGTAAACAAGAATGGCCAGTTCAAATATAGCTTATCAAATATAGAAACTCAGACATTTTGATAACATAACACATTTAGTGCATTGACGACTAGGAAAATATTATATCTTGGATTTTAATTTGTTTGTTTTTTGTTTGTTTGTTTGTTCGGGAGGGGGGGGGTATTTGGTGAGATCTCACTGTTTGGGTGGAGGCTTTGGGAATACTATGACCTGACTATCTACTGATGGTACTGGAAATTTCAGCTCTATGATAAGTCACAAGGACAGTTTGCAGCTTACTGATAGTCAAGAGACATACTGTGCTTCCTTATAAGAAGTATGTACTGAACCTGTGTGTGTTATTAGACCTTTAGAACTGGATGACCAGCCCTGCTGTAACATGTAACTTTCTCTTTGACATTAAGTGACCACAATACTGCACAGTATATTTCTGAGGAAAAACTCTGTCTCATCATAACAAATAGTGCAATAAGTAAAGTAACAGCTCACAAATGCAATTTAAAGCACTACAAAAAACCAAAAACACGCAGGCCTATTAACGAACTGTCTTGCTTGTCACCTGCACACTGATCAAATCCCACCATCAATTCCAGTAGAAGAGTCCATTAGTTACTGTGATCGATGTCACAGGTGGCTTGCATGTTTGCAAAGACACCGTAAGTGCTGTTTATTATACACAGGGTTTAGAGAGACATCTGCCATCCACACATTAACCATTGTGCACATCATCCAATCACATGGCTCCACAATGAAAACTAAACAGAAATAATAGTTTGTGAGCTGTGCCCGCCCACCTACACGCTAGACTTTTGCATTTGTTTCCAAAATCCAACTTTTCAGTTTTCCAACTGTACCTTAGTAAAACAAGTGATGCAACACAGTGAAATGTGTCACTGTCCCAACTATTTTCAAACGTTATGTCAGAATGAAGTGAAACATTTTGAAATATAATCTAATTTCTCAGTTGCGACATCTGGCATGTCTTCAATTAAAAATGAATGATGATTGCACAGCATCCCAACTTCTTTTTTTTTTTTAGAAATCAGCAACGTGATTGAAAACAATTAGTAGACGTGCTTCATTGTGATTTTTAGGAGGCATGGCTTACGCAACAGTGACAAGCTAGTTATCACTTAGCCAACTTATTTAACAGGGTTAATAGGACAACATATAGATCTACTTTTATTATGAATCTGTTTCACTAGCAAATTTAACCATTACAAGAAACAGGTCAGATGAAAATGAAAGGCCTTCTGTGGCTTTACTACTGCACAGTTTCCTCGGGGTAGCCTTACATTCCCTCCATTCATCCAGACATGTAAACAGCTAATATTACTTAGTCACAGGCCATTGCTTAGTAATGAGCCCAGACAGAAAGAGAAAGAAAAAGAAGAAAGACGCAAAGAAGAAAGAATAAAGTGAGATGGTGGGAGCACTGTGGCTGACCTCATTATTTTTACTAACCAGTAGGTCTTCCTCTGTCTGCCCAGCACCCTGAATCATGAGATCTGGATCGATGCAGTCAATTTGTTCTCGTGAATTTCCCTGAGACCACAAGATCTGCTGTCCTCCTCAAAACATAACACAGACCACTTCTGGGAATATCTTCAAAGTTTCCCATGCCAGGATTTCAGTGAAATTAAATCCAGTTTAATTATTCTAAGTGCCTACTTTTGCTGCAATCCACAGTAACTGACTTGTCCAGCACCGCCCTTTTATTGCAATGCGATCGTGGTGTTGGAGCAAAACAGCTCAGGAAGCCGATTTAACCTGATGAAGATGAGGGGGAAAACTGTGGGTTAAAAATCAACTGCACTGGGCCTTTCCCATGTGCCTGGGAGCAGATCATATTTTCTCCCAGGAGGGGAAACAAGCACAATCCTGAGCGTCATCAAAGGCAGTAGTGAAGGCATTATCGAAGCACCTGTACAGGCCTGTCAGTTGTTCTGTACAGGGGCCTTGGGGCACCTTTAATTGTAGCTTCAGCACCCACTGTAAAGTTACATGACACCAGTCAGTACAATGATGCCTCTGTTTACAGCCTTCATTTTATAACACTAGCCTGACAGGTGCTGTATGTTTCTCTCACGTGCGAGACGAGCAGGATCAGGGGCGTTTCAAGAGTAAAAAAAAAAAATCATAAAATTCTGTCTGAAATAAATATAAAACCATACCACTTGACAGACTTCCAGCCTCCATAAACATGAACTCTAACACATAGCTGGCCTGTAAGAAGTGATGGCAGCGACACTGATTCAACAGCGAGGTACTGGATCTTAGGAAATGCAGCGTATGAAACGAATGATGCTTCACAGGTCCTTTGTTTAAAGGTCACTTTTAAAAAGCAAAGAAGTTATAAAGGAGACAGAAAGTGGACCAAACCACTGTTAGGCATATGAGGGGGAGTCGATTTTTTCAACATGTAGAATATATAGTTGTTCATCGGCTATAATTAGCACAAAAGGACTTCAGGGCATATTGTTACATTGCTAAATATCATACTTAAGATAATGCATTAAGGTAGACGACACAAAGAAAGGGGGATCTGGCCTCCACCGTCCCCCCCATGATCTCCACCAGCGGTTACACTGATATGACAATTCAATTCTGGGAGGGGGCAATCAAATTTCATGTGCAAAGGAACAGGGCACACCACAAGCCACCAAATCTAGCCACAAACACAAGCAGCATTCTGGTCTGTGAAAGCACAGCATTCCAATGACATCAGTTATTAAATACGATGACCTTTAACCACCAAGCAGAACATAAATAATATTAAACCGTTGTTTATTAAGTGGCGGTGCAATTATCACAGAGGTGAACAGTGTGAATAAAAGGACACTCTAATAGAGCAATTAAGTGTGCACTCGGTCTGAATAGAGGCTGCTTGTTTTGATGTTGATTGAACAGATTGAGGTGTTGTACTGAGCTCCTTAGGAAGGCTTAATCAGCTCTGGCTACAAACATTAGCATTCTCACTTCTGTCAGTCTCCACCTGCTGTCAGACTCAGTTTACCCTAATGTGTTTCCAGTATATCCAACAAGGATAGAGCCTGAAGCTTTCATGGTGACCCCGATCGCTGCTATATTATACATCTGCGTGCTCATCTACTGTAATGTGTCTGTCAGGAGATCTGCTATGAGACCTTTTCTACTGTGCCAGTCATAATAACTGCACTCAAATTACCTGTCAATATGCAGAGTGCTATTGCATAAGTGTGCAGTCCAATCGTTCTAAATTATTCCGCTTAAGACCTGGAAGCTACACTTTTATATTGATGAGTTAGCATAATTCAGGTGAAGTCAGAGAGAGATGGGCTGAATAAAGATAGATCCAACCTGAGGGGTGATGAATCCTCACTTGGCTGAGCACCTTATGTCATACCAGCCAGGCAAACTGAGTTGTGGCCTCACTGGCCCTGAAGCCAGGCCAGAGAGAAACACTTATTCAGATACACAGATGCACATACTGGCATTTCTGTGAGTCGTGTTTCTAGGTGGGGTGGAAGGGCATTTACAGCGGCTTTAAGACCATGTGATTTGATGAGTCAAAGCCCAGACTAAATCTTCCTTGAGGGTGGCCCAGGGAGCCTGAAGCAACACATTTGAAGCACAAACATGCACACAAGCACACAGGCTGAAGCATTCCTCACCCTACTGAGTTGCTCCAGCAGTCTGTGGTTCTGTTCTGAGAGCTCGCTGATGGCCTTGGTCTTGTCCCTGTCAGCTTCTTTCAGCTGGACTTGCTGTCGCTCCAGCTCGCCCTGCAGCTGCTGGACATCCGTCTCCAGCTCGGCCACCCGGCCTTCCCATTCCCCCTCCCGGCTTTCCAGACGCCGTCGCAGCTCATGCTTCTCTTGCTCCAGGTGCTGCATTATGTTGACAAGAAGAAGAGGTCATCATGTTTAAAACCCTTAACTTTAAACACAAGTACCAAAAAAGACTATTGGGGGTTTGACAATGACAAATACTGGTGGTTCTATGGACTGAGAAAGTAAATCTGTCTTGGGCAAACACATTAGAGTATTGGTGGTTAAAAAGCAAACAAAAAAAAGTTGAGACTGGAAACACCAGTTGAATCCACTGAACAGATATGACCCTAGCTATTGGAGTGACAGTTCAGATAATAAGATGCTTCTTTTTTCTGGACAGATGTGCATTGCACCACCAGCAGCTGCCAGCTGTTATGGTCCTAGGATCAAGCAATCACAAAAAAGAGGTATCACATAGACTCAAAACAAAACAACATCAAGCACTGCCAAAAAAAATGAAACAACATCAATAATAAGGAGATGTTAGGGCTCAGCTTCTCTGAGGATAAATATGGATCAAAGGGATGAACAGATGTACAGCAGATACACTAGGCCAGGATTAGTCCCTGTGTTTTTTCATGTGATTTGTTTTTTCTCGGCCCATGTGCCTGGTTGTTCGAAACATTTGGAAAACAACAAGAACAAAAGATCAGCTGTGAAGCCTTCGTTGTAAACATGATGAGTTTATAGTGAATGCTGTGCTGGTCACTCTAGCCATAGACTGGACTGAGCAGCATGCCTATCTACACTGTATACTATAACTAGGCTTGGAGCACATAACTTGCAAGTCTTCAGGCAGCATTTGTTGCTGAGTTTGTTTCCAAACAAGGCCTAAACTTGACACAAACCAAAACGATACTTGAATTAAAACTTGTCAGGCGTACTTTCTTTAGATTACCTCCAATTTCTCGTTGAGATCTTTGTGCATTTTCTCATATTGCTTGGTCAAGTCTTGGTTTCTCTCCAGCAACGCTTTGCCGAGTTTAGCAGCTAAAACCAAGTCTTTTTCCTTTTGGCGAAAGAGCGACAGCAAGTCTGCGTTATGCCCCACCGCAGGCGTGTCTGGGTCTGACAGCTGCTCCTCACCTCCCCGCTCCCCGGTAAGCATGGCCAGTTCCTCCTCCAAGGCCATCCCGAGGCCTCCGGAACCGGCGTGCCGCAGCGGATGACCCTGAAAGCCGCCGGGCTCCTGAGCGGTGGGGCTACCCCGGGACTCCATGCAGTCGCTGTCCAGCTCCAGTGGTGCTGAAACCACGGCAGACGTCTGCAGGTCTAGGCAGAACGCGGACATCGCCGCCCGGCGGAGGAGAGGCCAACAGATTACAGCCGACTGATCTCACACCGGATAAACCCACCCTGCTCCGACTGTGTTGGGCTGACCGGGCCGGCTTCTAATCAACAATTCATCCATTATCGTCGCTCTTCGGATCCCGTGGTGTTTAAAAAGTGCTGCCTTCCCAATTTCCTCACGTCCCCCTCTCCTCGTTAACCTACCAGCCGCAACAGTGGCTCTGATTGAATCCCAGCAAACACCGCCTCCTCTGCAGCTCACTGACTGCTTGTTTATGATTGCTCACAACAAAATATTTTTATCCCGGTATGAACCGCCTCAGTGAATTCTTCGCAGCCGTCGGTCGGTCAGGGTCCATCCCGTCTCGGGGTCCTGGATCCCCCATAATGATCGGCCTCCACACCGGAGGAACTTAGCAGCCAAACATGATAAGCGCGATCACGATGCCTCTCAACCTCCTTCCTTTCCTAATGCGCGTTCCCGCCACGGCCGTGACGCCAGCTGAAACCTGTTACAAACGAGCAGCCGATTGGGTGAAAATGATAGCGCCATATTTTGGTGCTTCACACACACATCTGTGACATCCAGTAAATGAACACGTGAAGGGATAAAATGAAAACACTGTGCTGCCTTCAGTAGTGCGGGAGCCTAAAACCTACACACATAAGCGGGCACTTAAAAACAACAAAAAAAATACAACTTTTTTTTTTGCATTGATTAATTTAAACTTAAGCTTTCACTATTTTTAGAAAAAGAATCTTTCAACTTGAGCGCTTGGTCCAAATAAATAGGCTGGTAAACATGGATTTATGTAAATGAACAAAAGGTAAATAAAAACAAAGAAAAGGTTAAAAAAAACTACAACCACGACAGGGCCTAAAAAACCTAGAGTTTAAATAAACATCAGTTATTTATTATAGGCCCTAGTGTTAATATATAGCTCTTTTTCCTGATAACATAAAAGTAAGGTTTTACATTTATGTGTATTACGTGTGATATTACCCTTTGTATAATAACTTATACGTTACCGTTTGTACTACTCTGGTCAGTCTGTTGTATTACTCTGTTTATATCACTGTGGGCACTTGTTTACCCTACCTGCACAGCTCTGTCAGTACATTGCGGTGCTAATATGGCACAAGGAACTTTAACTTTCCACTCGCACAATGTACATTTTCAGACTTTTAATTTTAGAAATCCAGATTTTTTATTTAATTTACTTAAAGTATATAATTCACTACTTACTATATATAATATCCCCTTTATGCACAGTCGAGGAGCGTTTCAGGACACATTTAATTTCACTGCGCGTTGTACTCGTATAACTATGCATGTGACAAAGAATTTTGACTATTACCTACATAAACCGATCTTGCTACAGTTTGTGGGTATGTTTGACTACAGGTGTAGCTGGATTACAGTGTCAGAGGATATTCAGGGGTATTTCTGGCAAAACTAGTCTGCAATACGACGTTATCACGATATTTAATGACGCGCACATTTACAGTCTAGGTTCAAAATGTAATACCAAAGCAAAGTGACCAGTAAGGTTATCATATTACGTTTCGTTTATTTGAAAAAATGTAATTATTTACACCATAAGATACATATGATACATTTTGGGGAATGAGTAAGTTTATAACTTGTTTTTCGTTCTTTGAAAAATACACGCAGCCTCTCAGATGTTTCTAGAGAAGCTAATTAGCATAATGAGCTAACAGCTGTCTGTGAAATGAAATGTCTGTACACAGTGTATCAAGATATAGCTAATTTAATTGTTGTCAAATTTACACAAATTTAGCATTAGGCTATATTAATTAGTAGTTATAAATAGGTGCTGCGACCTCCGTCCACCCAGCAGTTTGATGTCTTCCAAAAGCGCCCACTAAATATAAACTAACACAAATCATAAGGAAGAAAATGGAGAAATACATGATGGGAAACTGCTTATTAACTGCTTTAAGAGATAAATTCAGGGTAAGTTGATAAATAAAGGATTAAGCGCACAGGGATTAGGTTTAGGGTCATGTGTTTACAAGTTAAAGGTTTTTAATGGACTCGCTAAGTCCTTCACAGATACTGTAATATGTGTGTATGTAGTAATGAGGGGGATGGGGTTAAAGATGGGGTTGGGGTCCTACAAACAAAGGCTCTACTGGGAGCACAAAAGAAGTGGGTCACGGCCTGCTGGCCCACCATGGCCCAACTTTGTGGATGGGGGTGCCACCATAGCTCAGTGGATAAACTCTGCTTTGATAAACCTAAGCTTAATGAATTTATCCGTATTAATATTATATTATATTGTTTGCAAATATAGGGAAAAATATTAACATCTGTTCTATGGATAAATAGTTGTACAGTTGCCTAAAGTCTCTTTATATTGTAAGGTAAACACTCTACAATAATAGAGAGAAAATACCAACAATTACACGACCACCTATGAGCAAGCACTTTGGCGACAGTGAGAAGGAAAAACGTACTTTTAATAGGAAGAAACGTCTGGCAGAACCAGGCTCAGGGAGTGGCATCTGCCATTGGGAAAGAGGTTAGAGAGACAGGACAAAAGACACACTGTAGAAGAAAGCCTAACTAAGGTCGGGCAGAAGGATTTTAAATTATTCTTTGTTAGTATAAGTTTATTAATTTTCCTTTTATTTTTTGATAATCATTTTTAAGGTTTAAGTAAATGCAAACCCCCTGGCTCAAAAACAAGGTTTGAAACCTTTTCCAGTTTTTAATAGAGGATAAAAATTTCTTCAGAGGATACCAACGTTTTTATATGCAAGAAAAATCATGAAAAATACATCTTTTTTCTTTTTCTTCTACTTCTTTTTTTGACTAATAAGGGATTAATCAACTGCTTAAAGCCTATTATTAGGGCTGATGATCAAAGGGACACAAATCAGACCAACCCCGGTGGTTCTTTATTATAGACTGTGGCTCCCTCTGTGGAAAAGATGATGATATTACATTCACCTTCCCCAAGTGATGAATAAGAGATGATCATCCTACTTTCACTACTTGCAGCTCTCTTCCTGCAGATCTGAAAAGTATTTTAGGGTTGTGATGTGTTATAAATATTTATGCTATAAAACTGTATCTGAGCTCTTTCTGAATCATTGCCAATCCCTTTGTGTACAAAATGTTTTGAAACAAGTGAAGGTTATTATAGAGATTCATGACCAAAATATGTAAATTGTTGACATATTCTGTGAAGCTTCAGTATTTAGAAGCAGTCGGAACGACCAACAAAAGAAGACGAAGAGCTTTCTGCCTGTGCTGGATTGTGAGTGACAATTCTCCATCCCCTTTTCACGTCAGTTGGCTAATTAACTGATTGAGTAATCAATTTTAAAATCCTCTAAAGAGCAAAATTAGCTCCCTTAATAGTGACAGTTTGGAGTGAATATGAGCAGAGTCTTTTAGTACTTTGTGTTCTGTGCTTATGTAACACCAACCCTTAGTCATACAGGCCTGACTTTGCCTTTTTTTTTTTCAACTGATGCAAGGTTTGGCTTCCTGTTATGTAACAGAACCAGGCTCTTCAAACCTCTAGATTACTGTATTTCTCCGTGATAGCCCTCACCCTATACCAGCATAGCAGAACATACAGAATGCAGAAATGATGCTATATAAAATATTTTGCCAGTGGGTGGCAGTGTTTTTGCACTGCTCCTTCTGGTCAATGACTTGGAAAGCTTGTAACACCTGCAGAAGAGGTACTGCTCTTTCTGGGAATTTCAGTTTTTCCCTGTTGATAGTTTCTGCCATTCGTAAGCTCAATAATATTTCCTAATGTTTACAGGAACAAAATAACCCCTAAATTCAAGAATCCTGTGCTTGCTCGCTTTAAAACGATTTGACACCAATCATCAGTCAATACAATATGGATGGTGGTCCATCCATATCACTTAATGCATGAGCAGTGGTGTACATTACAGTGAAATACAAGTGAAAACAGCCTTGGAAAAGGCCTGTTATTTTCCATCTTCACTTCAGAATTAAGCTGTGGTCTTAGACACATACAATACCTTGTTGCTAGGTAACATCAGTATGATGCCTGTGCTCAGCCCAGTACTCAAGATCACTTTGAAAATGCACCCTTATTTCACACTAATGCCAGTAAATTATGCTAACTAAAATATTCCATGAACAGTTTTGTCAGTAAATTGACTTCATTGTGACTTTAATGTTAATTGTAATCAGACTAACTTGTAATGACAGGTCAAATTTTACCATTCTATTCAATGTAGATCCACACTTGTATATATATTAGCTATAAAGGTTGGGAAAAGTACCAAGTGGAAACTTTACATACCTTTAATAACATGCTGGATTGTGCAGTGGCGTAAGCTAGAAGTAGCTCTATTTATAAATCATCACACATTTTTTCCTTCAGATATTTAAGGATCAACAAAACAAACATTATGTAATACTCTACTCCACAGATTTTGGTTTTCAGGTTTCCATAGCAGGTGTGTGTGCGCTGTTTCTGAGTGTCATCCCAAGGTCTGTATGCTGAACTCTATAATTAAGGGCTCTTCCTGTATGTGTGCTTTTGCAAACACAGGCTGTTTCACAGTAACTGAAACAATGTAAAAGTGTTGTTAATGCACCAGATTCAAGGAGCAAAGAGGCAAAACTGGTCCGTTACCTACAGCAAGGAGGATGTGCAGAGTTGGAGATGAGAAAGTGGAGGTGTGAGCTGATTCAAGGCCAACATATGGGGGTATGCAGGCCTTAAGAAAGAAAAAAGATGGCTTTTGTTACACAACTAAGTCAGTGATTTCATAACCTTTTTTTAAGTATGAAAGACACGGAGATCTAATTAGCAGCCATAACAAAGCATAAGTGAGTACTTCCCATGTTCTCTGTCTGCCACTGATTACTGTCACACGCACTAAATGTACAGTACTGTATTTTCACCTTGATAGCATTTTGTCCCTTCTGTTGCGTTGATGTAGTACTGCTTGCCAGGTTAGGTTCTGCCATCTGTTACAGAGTGTGTAATCTGTCACTGTGTGCGTGTAGTTTGCAAGTCAGTGCCACGGTGATGTGTCACTTAGATTGCCAGACACCAGGGACCTTGTTAAGTTGTGACATGACATGTACCATTATTCTGTTAGCCCATGTGCAATAATACTTTCATGTATATTGCACCTGGTTTCAGTACTTTAAGTGTACTTTGTTACAGAGCTATTAGACACCATTATGGTTTACTGCTTCTATTGGGCCTTACTGGGTTTAAGCTAAAAGAGGGAAAATATATGTGAAAATGCAACATGTGGCTGACTCAGCTGTTCACAGCTCCTGCCTTTATGTGGGAAAAGTCTTTCACAGTCCATGCAAATGGGCTGATTAATTACTTTGCTGATTTAAAGTAATTTTAAAAAGATTACTATTGTAGGTTACAAACCATATTTGACCGACAACCTTGGAGTACTTGAGTCTTTTTCCGTCAACTTGAAAATGAAAACAGATATTTGCTGTAACAGCACTCTTGTCCTGTCAGTTATTAGACTGCAGCTCTGCTCCTCAATTAGAAGCTGTTTAATAATGGTCACTGCATTTAGAAACTAATGAGGTGCCCAGTTTAAGAAGTCTTAAGCAAAAGAAATGATGTACAGTACGTGGATCAGGCTGCTGACATTAGTGTGATTAGTTCTGGCTGCTACAGAATAGAGAGGAAGACAGAATTTGGGGAACGGTAAGGGTGAACAGATGACAAATAAGTGAGAGAGAGATAGCTTCCTCTCACACTATGGTATGTGATCTGGTCTGCTGCATTACTCTACAATGCATTTTCTATGTAGTCCTCCACTCCCTCCCTCTCTCCACTCTCTGTAAGCAGTAATCTCCAGTCGCTCTCACTGCCTCGCAGCTTTCTGCCCTGCCACAGCGCATCTCTCTCTCTCTCTCTCTCTCTCATTCTATCTCTCTCTCTCACTCTCTCTCCTTTCGGCTCTACTTTCTCCCCAGTGAGGATGACAACCCCGAATTTGATGAACCAGCGAAGCTCTCATTCCGGCTGGTGGCTTCTGAGGGAGACCCCACATGAATGGGCTTACTGGACGAGGAGGTGCCGCGTCTAAGGAGCTTCGTAGGAAACCTGTCAGCTGTAGCAGTCGCTGAGTGAGTGTTATACTATTTTACTTAGGGTTTCTGTCAAGAATAAAGAATGAGTGAGGGTGATGACTGGATCGGGGAAAGAATGAAACCAGGATTTTATTGCTTTTCAGGTGTGACAGTGCATTATTTCCCCTTTAAGCATGCTGGAACCATTAGTTGACTGATTGATTGTCTGACACTACAGCTGAGGATTTATAGACTTATGAGATAACTAAGGCAGCGTTGAGCTTACGCAGCAGCTGTATCCCGTCTGTCAGGGCTGAGCACTGTTCTTGGTCACGACACTGAAATGCTGTGCCTTTGTTTGCCCATCTCTCTTCATCGCTGTGCTTACTGTAGCATACACTCATACAGATGGCTATCACTCCCTAGGGTTGTGTTCAAACTCACCATTGTTTGTAAATGGTCAGATTACGATCACATCAGGCTTTTCCAAACATCTATCTATACTAAGAGTGGGGAAGTTTTGAAACAAAGTTGACATGACTATTTATCATGTAAGGTTTTTTCAGGTGATCTTAGCTCACTTTAACAATCCACTTGGCTGTAATAGTTATATGTGGAAAAAGGTCTGAAATAACAAAGTCTGATAAAGTCAGAAAAAGTGTAACAAGATGAAGGCTGTGGTTGGTGGAAGGCATCTCTATGTTAACAGCAGGTTATGCCAAGGTTAGAAGAGAGGTGAAGGAAGCTTGGGGCTTCTTTCTGGCGCACATTTAGGTGGATTGCAAATTACGTTACTGACGGGACTTAAGAGGATCAGCAAAACCGAATATTAATGAGGAAATTGTGAAAGAAAACAGAGGAAATTTACATACAATAAACTGTGTAAAAGTATTAAACACAACTCAAACCAGGGAGGGGGGATTTCTAAACTTCATCTATAGTATTCTGACTATATTTAATTTAAAACAGTTCTTCAGGAGGGTTGGTTTGTTGGAGTTTCATCTCTAGTTTCCTGTTTGCGGAGGCAGGCCAGTCTGATGGTAGAGGGCAAAGAAAGAATAGAAGACACCGAGAAACTCTCGGCAGTAAAGATCTTCCAATGTTAATGCGAGCAGCGACGAGAGAGAGTTCGCTGCACCACATCCTCAAGTGTCATTTCCCCAAAAGGCTCCTTTAGAAGCCCACACTGATCCTCTTTGTCATTTGGATTTGAAGTATAACGATGAGCTAGATTTGTGAAGTGGTTTTCCAAATGCTCGGCATAAATTGTGACATTCATTCAATTTGATCGCCGAAAATGGCTGTCTCTGGAGCTCCAGAGCATTCAGTAGCTAGTCCGTAGCACTGATGGAGCTAGTTAAAAGTAAAAGTGTTTTTGGTGCCACGTCGTGAATGTAGGACAGGTTTTAGGAAGGCTAACCAGTCAGTTAGTGATTAAAGTCTAACTGTGGTCTGCACATTTTAACATGGCAGCAGATCTGTCTACAACTGGCTGCTTGGTAACTGGAAGCATTGAAGTGCAGCTCTGAATACCATTTTAACTGTTTCAGGGTGGAATTTTCCTATAAAGCTTATGTAACAACTGATATTTCTGGCCAGTGTTTATTTTGAATGTGCTAGTTCTTCATGCTGTAAGTATAAAAACCTCTAGTGTCACTTGAATTGCCTTAAAACCTCTTTCTTATGGAAAATAGTATCTTATATCAATTTCTGATATTCCCATGCACTAGGCCTATGATGGACCTTCAAATTAATATTACTGTAGTCAAGCACCAAATAACATGGATAAGGCTATATTAGTAGTAGCCTTCAAAACTAAAATGCTAGCAGGAAACTGTGGAGCTAGAGAGCCTTGTACTGGGGTATTGTTAATTTGTCGTTGTCATGACAATCAGCATAAAATCTCACAGTATACATGGAAAAGATGGCCTGAAAGATCAACTTAGAGGGAAGTGGTTGAAAGAAAGACATTGAGCTTGTTCTTAGGGAGAATCTGTCCCACTACAAAGTTGCAACAGGTCTGTGATTCACCGCTGCCCATACAGTGGCCGTGGCCCTTGGTCACCTAGACTGAATGTGGAGCAACACCATGACTGGGATGCAACCTCTCTCCACTCTCCTCCTCTTCAACAACTCTGACTCACAGCCCAGCACGCATTATTCAGCCCACGAAAAAGAGCTCTTCGAATGAAGCCAGTGTTCTTCTCGGAGCTCTCATTTGTCTCATTTAAAGTTTTTCTGGAGTTGTTTTGAGTGCACTAGCACGCCAAACTATGTTCAGGGTTTGAACACTGTTAAGTTTGAACAACACAATCTAGAGATGTTCAGTAGATATAGACTGGCTAGCTCAGAGGTCAAACTGTCTTTCCTGTTGTTGCAATGAGGTTTTAAAAGTATAGTTATTAGTAATTGCTTTGTGGGAGCTAATTATTGCTGAGGACGAGCCCAGCTGCACAGTCTGTTAGCTCAGCTGATTATGGGCAGTCAGCTAGCACTCGAATTTTAGAGGAAGACAGCCAGATCTGAATCCCATCTGGTGCCTCATGCTCGGATGGCACCCCTAACCACCAACTTTACAACTGGCTGGCTGCAGATGAAGTTCTCCACATTGTTAAGAAGTGTCAGCACATATAGATTCATTAGTGGCTTTGAGCCTCTTAGACCCACAAGCAGACATGAACCAAAGGCACATAAATCTTCTGTGCCTCTCTGAGTCAAAACAATTTCACAGGAGTGAAAATCTTTTGGGGATCACACTTGCAAAATTGTTTTTCTAACCGCACCGTCACCATTGAATACAAATGGGACTTTTTGACATCTCATATAAAGTATACAGAGGGAGCATGCGCCTCTGACGTGATGTGCTTACAGGCTGAAAAATCATCAGGTGCATGAGGAAGCTAACCTCATGCATCATCACCCATTACAAGCCACCTGCTCCTGCATCATGTTGTGCCAGTGAAACTTGAACTCTAGGCTGATGCAGCTTGGGCACATGCTGCGTGGCCTGTTGTGATACCGGACAGAACACTCAAAAAAAAAACCTTGAAGCATGATGATTACAGAATGTCAGATTTCCGGAGGAAGTATTAGTAAGCACCAGCAGCGTCTTTAGAAGTTCACAGTGTGTGTTGTTCATCTGCATAGTGTGCACAGCTTAGTTTCCACTTAGAAATCCATGCAGTCTTCTGGTAAACATCCTGATTATGGAAAAAATAGCAAAATTTCACTAACAGAGGATTGTCAAGAAATGGAAGTGTTCCTGCTATGTTCATTTCTTTAGAGACATTACCAGCCATCTAAGCCCTAAGCTTAAACATTATCTCTACATATTCTGACTTCATTATTTGAAATTTCGCTATCTTTAATATGACCATCCCCCACTGCAACAGCATTTATATGGCAGAAAATCAGAGGAACCAAACTAGATGCCCTTAAAACAAAATAATAAAGCATTTAAATAGTAAATTAAATCTCTTATGAACACAGTGCAGCGGCAGTAGAGCACATACAGTAGTTGAGCTTGAGCCGAGCTTGTTACTGTAGCGAGGAGTGGGAGGTGAGCCTGTGCTTTTAATAGACATCCTGCCTCTGCCACTCATTCTTGTGCATGCTACTTGATCACAAAAGCTGCCAAATATATCCAGTGGTGGTAAAAGAGGCTGTTGTTGTGAACACAAGCAGGCTATTTTTAGTCTCTGCCAGGAGAGAATATATGATCACGTATTTGATCAGCACAGTGGTTTGCTTACTAAATATCTAAGCTGTGAACAGCATCCTTTATCTTCTAGTCATCTGTGGTATCATGTTAATGGAGTAAGTGTTAATGTATAAAGTGTCGCTGCTCTGGAATGACTCTGTGCTATGTGAATTTCGCAAGTCTTCAGTGCTTGTTTGATAAATGCTATTTTTGGTATGAAAGTGAGCATTTGAGTTGAGATTTAAAGTGTATGTAATCACGGTACATTTGCTCGAGTCACTACATGCAGTAAACAGGATTTAATCTAGTTTTGGTTTGATAGTTTTGACAATATACCACTTATTTACTTTTTAAATATGTAGACACATAGACACATGAATTCTGTTATGTATGATCACAGGAACTATCCCAACTGACTTATGGAATAAGTCATCTATACAGTATGATTATGAAAGGTAAGTGTTTTACATAAGAGCACTGAGTCAGCCCTTCATATTTCAAGAGAGGATAAGCAGAAACTGTTTATTGTAACGTGTCTCTAACTGCTATCCGTTCCCTCTCACCTACAGATTAATGACTGCATCTATCAACTCTCCTGATAAGACCATCTCCTTTGGCACAGCCTCATTACTTTAAAAGCACCAAAACAAAGGCCAGGATTGCCAGACACATGTCACAGGTATAACTTTTCACATGGTAAGAGTTTGTTTCTAGAGTCAGCCATCTGTTTGCCAGTTTGCCTTGCCTGATGTGTTTTTCTGTATGTTTGGAATTTCTGGCTATTTACCCTTGTGGCTACACTATGTGCTTTACCTTTAACGGCTATGGTAAGAATAAAAATCTCTCAAGTGCAGCAACTGCTGTGAAAAATATACTAATTAATCCTGACTGATGTGATGTAAGTGATGCTTAGCAAAGAAGCCGCATAATCTTTCTCATAAAGTTGTCGTGATAAAGGTGATGAAACATTTAAAAATATTAAATTCAGTTTAATTTATATTGCATCAAATCACAACATCCATCCCATCAAGACACTTTATACTGGGAGGTAAAGACCTTACAATAATAGAGACAAACCACAACAATCAGATGCCCTTGTGTGAGCATCCACTTGGTAACTGTGGGGAGGCAAAACTCCAGGCTCGGAGAAGGGGTCCCTTCACCCCCATCTGAGTACGGGGTGAGGGGAACTGAACTGAGAAGGTGCTCAGACATTTACAAGTGAAATAAGGATCCTTATGAATTGTGAATCATGCTAAGCTACATTAGTCCAAGAATAAAAACATGGAGTTGAAAAATGGTCCCTTTTAATTTTTGTTTTGCTGCACAAGCTCATCAACAAATGTTACCATTTTATTTCATAGCTTACACAAGTTAATTCTCACAAACAGATATATTATTTTGTTGAATGTGCTCTACTGATTGGTGGTGAGATTCAGTTTTGTATTGACTGTTTGTTTTTGTATGCAACTCTATCAAAATACTCAAAGTCTGGTTCAGTACATCGAACCAAGCAGCTCGTAACACAAAGAATCCATCAGTGAGGGAGCAGTAATATCTCAGCTACTTCAACACCTCCGTCTCGTTGTTAAGCACATATTTAAATCTGTCAGAAGGAAACTTTGCTGACTTATAAGATCTGGCTAATGTAATCTGTATGACTCAAAAAATACCTCTTATAACACCTCCACAAGCCCCAACCAGATGAAGATATAATGAGCAGTGTACTTCAGTGTCCTGAGTCACATATAAATGTGTGCAGATTTACACCAATCCACCTTTATTCATGTCACTGCATTTCTCTGAGCTGTCTGCTGAAAGACTTGTGAGTGACACATCATTTTGGATTCCTGTACCACACTGACCCTTTGGTTTTACTGGCTGCAACACCCATGCCGTGGTGCTGTGTTTTCGTGAGCATGTGTCTGCATTGTGACTGTGTTAGTGCTGCTATAGACTAAGCGCTGTCACAGTATCTGTGACTGTGCTGCCTGTCCTGCTGTTTCTCTGCTTTCCAACCCTCCTCTTGGCCTGTAATGCTATAATGGCAAATGTAATTGTAACATCAATCACTACCAATGACATGTGGCACCAAACAAGTCTACTGCACTTTTACACAGACACACACAGACAGATAAGCATATTACATGCATGTTGTGACAATTGCACAAATATACTGTTTTTCCTTTCAGGTTGAGCAAGAGATCTCGCTCATTCAGAGGAAGATGTCTGACCTTGAGTCAGTGCTCCAGCAAAAGGACATAGAGTTGAAGGCCTCAGAGACTCAGAGGACAATCCTAGAACAGGATCTGGCCACTTATATCACCGAATGCAGTGTGAGTATCTCCAGGGATTATAAGACAGAGACATAGCACTGGAAAGAGTGTGAAATCTATGGAAACATTTGCTAAAAGCAAAACTGAAACTGAACTACCAGGTAAAAAGTTTTAGTACGCCTTATTTTGGAGCAAAATCGATTTTTATTAGATTTAACAGGAGATTTTATATTAACGTTTTTTATGATGTGTGACTACTGGAATTAATCAAGCACCAGAAGTGTCTCATGATGGTTGGGAAGTGGTAAGAACTGCTTCTACAAGAACTTTGTATTACAACAATCGCTAGCATATGGGCTGCTTCCTCATATGCATGTGTGTGTATGCCATATATACTATGACTCTTGCTGTCAATTCACTAAAATGCAATGGTAGATGAACAAGATATTGGAAATACTACTTAGCTGATGATAGTACGATTCAACAGCATCCAAAAAGTGAAACGACACCTATTTAACACTAACTATTTATTTCAGGATTTTGATATCAGGTTGATTTATTTTCAGCTGAGTATTCCCAACAAAGTGTCAGCTGACTGAACACAAGTTTGTCTTCATTTCAGAGTCTAAAGCGTAGTTTGGAACAGGCTCGTATGGAAGTGACACAGGAGGACGATAAAGCACTGCAGCTTCTTCATGACATCCGGGAGCAAAGCAACAAACTTCAGGAGATCAAAGAACAGGTAGGACGACATTTCGGGTGTCACATTAGGTCAGCTGGCTGAGAGTACGCCTGATGCTGTGGGCTCAGAATTGAATAATTAATGAGGAAATTAGTCAGCTCTCTACTGTTGCAATCATTTTTTGATTTCATTAAGTTTTGTTCTTTTGAGTGAAAAGACTTTTCTTTAGTGACTGTTTTCCCCTTCGTTTTCCAATGAGTATTCATGCAGTACTTTGCAGTGAAGGGAAGTACAGTATTACATAAATAACGAATTGTTTTTCAAAAAGAACATTTTAAGAGGATTTCATAATGGCAGTCAGATGGAGCAGGTCGAGCCACCAAGGCTGAGTGTGTGGGTTGTGAGTGTTAATTAGACAGGCACATGATGCTGAAACCCCACAGCTAGGGATGGGAATTGATAAGAATTTAGTGAGTCCGATTGCACTATCTATATCACGCGTCGATTGTCATTGGGTTCTCATTGGCTCTGTTTTGAGAGTCAGCACCATCACTAAGCAGCAATGAAGAAAATACATTCATGCAAATGAATTGCAAGCTGTGGGTCAAATGTTTGTGC